TAAGAAGGAACCGTGTTCGTCGTAATGAAGCTTGTGTGGAAAGTGGAGCATGATATTTTGAACACCTTCTTTAAATACAAGAAGGTGCAGTGAGGGTTTTAAAAAGAAAAACAATGTATGTATCAAAATTATGTTCCCTATTTATAAGTGGATTTTTTAATACGGTCAATAAACTTTCACACACCAGGTGAAGCGCTGAGACAGTAGTAAGTCCGGTTTTTTAATTGTTTGCATTTTACGAGTACATTATCAAATAATGAAATAATGCCTAAAAGCCAAAAATAACAAACTCTATCTTTAGTTACACTGCGTTCCGTCGTAATTTGCGTCTGGCATTGCGGCAATGTCAGATTTTATTTTACTTTAAAGTCGCTTTTCTATAAAAAAAATGCCGTTTTGACCCCCATGTTATATGAAACTTTTTGCTTCTTTAAAGCTCCTCTATCACCGATGTAAATAATGACTATCATAACGTTTACACCCTGTATACATATATATGTTGATGTATGAATTTATAAAGAGAAATGATTATAAACTATTCCAAAAATTATTGTTTGAAACTGGAGCGTTCATAAACTAAAGCTTGCTGCAATGGTTATAGGTGGTTATAGATTGAATTTTATAAAATCTAAAGACTTGATGAGTACAGACATTGTTTTAGGTGCTACAGCTGTTGAAATTATAGAGGAAACCAAGAACTTTATTGGACACAAGTTTAAGTTTTGAGAATCATATCATAAATAAACTTCGGGTATTAGCCACTTTGGAGATGAAAACATGTTTTAACCAATGATGTACAATCAAGACTTACCAATGCTCTGATCCTCATTCATGTTGATGATGACTATGGCGCTATAGTATATTACAATTTTCTTATGGAAGACATAATTCAAGTATTGCAAAACTGTTTGACGAGATTTGTTTCAAAGATATACATAAACACGGTAATAACCGACTATTATTTGAGAAATATGTTTTAAAATTCGAGTTATAAGTTTTAAATTATAAATTAACCAGTTATGTGTTTAATTCTTCAGAGAAGTGTTCACTCTGCCAAGTTTATTTACGCAACAATGCATATTGCAGTATTCTGGTTCATACAACGTCTTAGTTCAAAAAATGCTTTAGTTACACAGAACCATATCTAATGAGCGATTATTTGAAGCTGTTTGAAGCACATTCCACTGTAAACGTCAGAAATGAGATGGAAAAAGTGCTACCACAGTTACAAAGATTTGAATCCTCAAATTAAATTTAATAGCGGTTGCAACACTATCTTCCACTCACACTCTGACTATATCATGTTATGTATATGTATAGTGTTGTGCATAATATTTGTTGTAAATGCTAATCACTCTATCCAGTTAATGTTAGATAAATGTTCATCAAACTAAACTTTTAGGGGGAGGTGAAAAATGGCAGTGCCAATCCTCTTTCCTTTTGGAATGTTGGGGGTGGGAATAACAGAATAAAGCAGAGGAGCGCTTGAAATTTGTAGACCAAGTTAATGTTTCACAAAGAAAGGGAGTGGGGTAAGAGGCAAACTCCAAGCTCCAATCATACGAAACATAGCAGAGGAGCTTGACATTTTTAGACAAAGTCAATATTTAACGAATGTTTCTTAGTTACTTATTAAGTATTTAAACAAATATTTGATAAAAAAAACAATGAAAATTTTATGTCATGCTAGGATGGAAAGTCGTACGAATTATGCGATATTAGGTTGGGGTGAAGCACTTAATAACCAAATGAATAAATTAGAAATTATCCAAAAATAATTTTTAAGAATAATCTGTGACAAACCACCCCTATACCCATCTGATCTGTGGTATTCTAAAGCAAAACTGTTAGACCCTACGTAACAATTTTTTACAGAATTTAATCTAGTAGTACAAAAGTCCAATGTTCATATATATTTGTATATATACTAAGTGACATATAAATCCGAACACCCAGTTTAAATGGTTTTATTTTAATAAAAGTTGGTAAATGTATTTATCTTACTATAACTAACAAGTGAAAAAATTTTCAGCCTTATCAGTTGGACATTCCGGTTTTTATAACGCTCTAAAAATGAATATTTCAGCCGCAGTCAAGAATCAACGTTGGCGGATTTTGGTTCTTGACATCCTTTACGATCGGTTACGATGCCTAGAGTACGGAGACCTGTACGATTTCGTCAACTTAGTGAGTTTGATAGGGGCCGTATAGTGGGACTTCGAGAAGCTGGACTTTCTTTTCGGGCAATTGCAGTTAGAGTGCAAAGAAGTGTAGACACTGTGGTTAGGTGTTGTCAGGCATGGCTTCGAGAAGGCCGTACGCAAAGAGCAAGGGGCACTGGACGCCGCCGTAGAACAACAGACCGTGAAGATCGCCGCCTAAGATTATTGACCTTAAGGGACCGTTTCTCCACTACCAGGTCCATTGCAAATGAATGGTTTGCAGAACACGGAAGACCTATTGGCATGCGAAGTGTTTACCGACGAATGAGAAGTTTTGGCTTGTTTTCATACCGGCCACACTGGGTCCTCCCTTTAACTCGAGAACACCGACGTAATCGCCTTGAGTGGTGCAGACAACGGTCACTCTGGGATCAGGAATGGAACAGTATTGTCTTTAGTGACGAGTCTCGATTTTATTTAGGCATGCACGATGGTCGTGCCAGGGTTAGAAGGCTACGTGGTGAAAGGAGGAATCCACAGTTTTTTGATGAAAGACATGTTCATCACACTGTTGGAGTTATGATTTGGGGTGCTATAGCTTATGGTTCCAGGTCACCTTTAATCTTCATCAGAGGTAACATGAACGCGCAGCGTTATATCCACGAAGTTCTAGAACCCCATCTTTTACCCTATCTTGAAACCCTGGCAGATCCAACTTTCCAACAAGATAATGCCCGACCACATGTTGCAAGAGTCACAATAGACTTCTTTCAACATAATGATGTCACATTGTTACCATGGCCACCAAGATCTCCCGACTTATCCCCAATTGAGCACGTGTGGGATATGATGGGTAGGAGATTGCTCAATTTGCAACGTCCTCCTCAGACTCTAGAAGCACTTCGAGAGGAGTTGGTGGTTGCCTGGAATGAGATACCACAGGAGGACATTGACCACCTGATCAGAAGCGTGCCTAGGCGCGTTGGAGAATGCGTAGCACATCAGGGTGCATCCACACATTATCAAAGGTCAAAGGGCTTTAAAGCAGTGCAATCATTTTGAAATTTTTATCATTTACTTATTATGCTTCATTAAGTACTTGTACAAAATTTTATTAAAATAAAACCATTTAAACTGGGTGTTCGGATTTATATGTCACTTAGTATATATATATATATATATATATGTATATCTAAATATATGTCTGTATGTATATGTATACGTATTTATGAAAGTTATGAGTCATTCATTCCCATACACAAGATTTCATTCTTCTGTGGGTAACTGCAGTTTATTTATGTAGGTATACGTATGTTGGTTTTAGTTATGTTTGTACAAGACATAAAAATATTATTATTTGGAACTTCAGACGACGTAGGTCGACATCGCCACGCCGCCGTTTGTCTACCTCATAAATGCTTGTTCAAATGCATTTCATATCAAAAATTTACCGTCGCAATGTCAACCAAAAATCACCAGATGACAAAAATATAACATATACAGTAATAAAATGTCTTGTGCATTCTTAGTACGCTTGAATCCCAAAAGTCTCTAGCAATGCGGCAGACTTCATGTTGGAACAGTTTATTGTTATCAGGGACATCAAACATTTCTATAACAGTTGCTCCAGATATTTACTACCTACATTAATACTTACTATGGTTTTTAATAAACATCTTTTATTATATTTTACTGATTGTTGTGCTTGAAATCTAATCCAGCTTGAGCACAGGCATTCATAAATGGATACGTGCTAATTATTTTTCCAAGTGACTAGGTATGAAAAAACATGAGACATAAAATCTGTATTTTAAAATGGTTGATTAAAATAAAAAAATCATGACAGTCAGTGGCGTTCTTGGAAGATTTTCAAAGTACCTCATGGACCACCTATCAACCTGCCAACTCTTAACTAGCTCAAAGGAGCATCTAAGCGAAAAAAGTTTGTTTCGGGAAGATGCTGTACAGCGTGTTACTGGCCAAGCACAAAGTTGTGATTCTTTGGATGGAAGCAACAACGTCGTACGTCGTATAAACGTGGGAGCGATTCTACGTAGACACAGTTTGAAATTTCGTTTTTCAAAAAACAAAATGGTCCTTATTACGTATCGTCAGAGATTTAGCTAATATCAATTAAGAAAAACTTTACGCAAACTCACAGATGACAGCGATCATTTGTATCAAATTGAAATTATTTATTTTCCTGTTGAAACAACTATTTACAAACAAATTCAGACACTGCATACAAACATTCATTTAATAAAAAACGCTTCAACTCTGCTCTAAAAGGCTTCAAACTATCACAGTACTTGGCACTGACAGGTAACATGTTAACATTTTTTTGACCTAACGGCAAAGTTACAATATGGTACGTGAATCTCGTTGTTTTCAGGGTATCAATGATATCGCCGAGTCTAGATCCATTATTCTAAACTGATTTTAAATATCCATCATTACTCCTGTACGTGCGAGTTTTCAACAAAGTTTGTGTGTTCCTGAAAATTCCATAGTTCAAAAACGGTTTGACTCTCGGAATCTTGAAAAGTGGCCATTATCAGATTTTTGTTTATAAGAACCTTTCGTCGTTCAGCCCTTGAGATTAGGAGTAGAATCCGAAGAGAAAACGAGTGCAGCATTTTTTATTGAGCACACTGTTTTTCGTACTCCAATCTCCATAGAGGGCCTCGATATCTCGGCAGCTAGAGCGTTGAGCTAGCAATCAGTCGACCCGAGGCTCGCGGGTTCGAATTTCCGCCTTTGAAGTTAATTCCGAGCCATGGATATTGTGTTGTGTGTTGTCTACATCACGCACCAGATCAGTGTGAAGCAGCCACATACACAGAAGCCTGAATAGCTATGTCCACACTGTACCTTTTCATCGTCAACTTTCGTCTTCATCTTTCTATTCGACTTTCGTTTAACGCTTACAATAAGTGAATGCGTTAAATGAAAGCAACACCATAGTTTAGTCGTAGTTTCTGTCATAATTTGGAAACATGTGCGACGAGAATATTTTACTTGGTGGAATATGTGCAGCTTACTTGGTCATCAGAAATTCCAGTAAAAAAAAATCAAGACAAAGTTTTGGATACGAGGTTATTATAATAATCGAAGTAACGTGATTATGAGTAAACTAAGAGAATATAAAGATATTCTTTTTAAAAATTTTACACGCATGTCCGAAAAAAAAATTACAAAGCAGTCAACCCAGTTACGTGAAGCTATACCTAGTGAAATAAAGTTAGCAATAACGCTAATGTTTTTAGCTACTGGAGACAGTTTAATGTCCCTTTCGTTTTTATTCAAAGTATCCAAACAATTCATATCAGCAATGCTACCAGATGTATTAGAAGCCATAATTGAAGTACTCAAGGATTATATTAAGGTAAGTAACAGTTTCATTTATTAAAAAACACAACCATAATCATTTTTTAAATAGAACAAATTCAGAAATATTGCTAATATCTATAATGTTTGAATCAGCCTGTGTCTCCGTAAAATGCATGCTGCACCAGTTATCTGTTGCATTTCCAGATTAAAGAGTATATTATTTATGCGTTGTTGAGCTATAAGCCGATTAAATGTATTAAGGTTTCGAATTTTATGAGCTATCAATTGTCCATAAGTAGTGAACTCATCTTTTTGACTTAATTCTTCACTAGCTTACTAGCTTTTTTCATAAAATTGTAAGCTTCCGCCTCTTTATCGTCAATCGTTGTACTTTTAATATTTCTCTTCTTTCTTATTGGTGGTAGGGTAAATTCATGCCCGTCTTCAGATATACACGTAGACTGCGAAGTCGCAAAGTTTTCTCTATTTAATATTTCAGCCGGCGTGTCCTGCAAAAAATATAAATCGTACTGAAATCCTTTTTTTTTGTTTGTTTTTACAGTTACCAACAAACGAGGAGCAATGGAAAGCGATTGCGAATGATTTTGACAAGCGATGGAACTTTCCACATTGTATTGGCGCCATGAATGGAAAACATGTGGTCATCCAAAGACCAGAAAATACAGTGGGCGAATTTCATAACTACAAAGGAACACATAGCATAGTATTGTTTGCAATTGTAGATGCAAACTATTGTTTTACATATGTTAATGATGGTTGTCAGGGTCGTATTTCGGACGGTGGTGTTTTCAAATCCACTTCATTTTATAAGCAAATTGAAAAACACGAATTTAATTTACCAAATAGTGAACCACTACGTGGTAGACCAATGTCAGTACCTTACGTATTAGTTGCTGAGGATGCATTTGCACTAAGTACCTATACTCTGAAACCATATTCAACCGATTTAAATGTGGGGTCACCAAAAAGAGTGTATAATTATAGGTTATCAAGGGCAAGACGTATCGTTGAAAATGCGTTTGGGCTTCTGCCATCTGTATTCAGAATATTCCGTAAGCCCATTGAATTAAAAGTCGACAGTACTGTAATTGACGTTGTTTTGAGTTGTGTTTACATACACAATTTTCTACGAATGCAGACAGATTCTACACGGGATTACTGCCCTCCAGGTTGTTTTCATAATGAGGATGTAAGCACTGGAGAAATCATTCCCGGATCATGGAGAGTAATAACTGCCGATGACAGCGGTTATAGGCCACTTCAAAGAATTCCTCGTAGGTCATCAAATACATCGAACCAAATACGAGATGAATTTATGAATTATTTCATGTCAGATATTGGAGCAATACCGTTTCAAACCCGACACTTATAACTATATACCTATCACATTTATTTTGTGGAAAAAGTAATAAATTGATTTGCCTAAATAAATACGCATTTTAAAATACCTTTTCATCCTCAGTACTACTTTCTCTAGTTTTCCGCGGCGTCACCGAGTCAGCAGTGAATAAGAGTTGTTTGTAAGCAAACCACGGTGAAACATAAATCTCATCGGATCCAGCACCGCTCTTTTTCCTGATGACTTTTTGATGCTCTTTGGAAAAATACAAGCGAAGACTTTTTATCTTTTTTTTAACTCCATCGATATCCATTTTATATTTAGTAGCCAGAACTTGCAAACCATCGTTTCTCTTTACTTTGTTTGTATAAAGTTTATTATTTGGATCCCAGAGTTGTGGAAAGCTTCTGTAATCTTCATTAAACTTTAATGTTAAATCTTTTTCTTCGTCCGCCATCTTGTTGTTGAACGCTATAAGGCACAGACATCCACCCGACGCCGGAAAACGTGTATCACAGCGCGCGCTTCGCTTTCAACTGCCATCGCGCTTGCGTTAAAGGCATGCCTCACGTGCGCTGTTAGTGTCACTTAAAACGTACTGCGCACGCTCATTACGACTCACTGTACGGTACACGGCTTTGTTGGAACGAAGCCGTTGACTGCGCTATAGCGCATGCCCTTATTGAACAAAAAAAGGCACAGTGTGGTCATAGCTAATGACAGCGCACCGCGTCTGCTATGAGGAGCTTAAAGAAACTTTATTTATCTAATCTTTGAACTGCCGTAGGCTAGAAGATCTGCGAAATCTGAGATCTGTATAAATACTGTGTTTTGAAAGCATTAGACTATACAAGATTGTTGCATTCCCAGGCAGTGATAACCTTCAGGTCTCTTGTCAGAAAGAAAGTCTCTGCCAGCCTTTTTTGTCCAGATCACTGTCAGATCGGCTTGTCACTCTGAATACCTGCATGTAGAGTGCTGTCATCAGCAAAGCTATGGATTGGATTGATCGTACAAGAAAGGTAGTCGTTGATATGTAAGAGGGGCAACTTCTTAGCCATGACCGATCCCTGAGGAACACCCGCGTTGACGTTGTGGGATGAAAATAAGAATCCGTCAATTACGACTTGGTGCCAGAGAGAAAGTCAGCCATCTATCTGCAAAGCTTCTCTGGGAGGCCGTAGGATAGAGTTTGCATAGAAGGGCAGCATGCCACAGGTGCAATGACATGAGCCTCACCATATTTAATTATCAGCTACCAGTAGAGAACTTGTGGAGTAGCAGGACAGCGTTGATGCTACGGAGTCGGCAAAAAGGGCTGAAGGCGGTCTAGTTGCCGGGCTTCGTCTCCCCACCACTACTACTACTGCTACCACCCCAATATCCATTAGCTTAGCTTTATCCCGCAAGTTGAAGCTATTGTCTACTAAATTATAATACAAACGCCGGTTTATATTTTTAAAACGCCCGACCATCTGTTACTTTATTCCAGCCTCGCACCTAGAGCCGACATTCGCGAATTTATTCAAATATATGCGTATCTTTTTAAAAGGACCTGTTCGCCAGTGATATTTTGTGATTTTAAAAGCCCATCAGGCAGGCCATTGTCGACACATGTGATGGATCGTTGACGTCACAATTAAATTCGGATTATAAAATTTAAACACCCCCTTTTAAAGTAATCAGGACGGTTGGTTTAATTAGACCGTTTGATTGATGAGATTAGTTGCGTTTACAATAAAAGTTTCATTTGTGCAGGGTTGTTTTGGTATAATTTGATGGGATACTTTTTGCCATCAAACTCGGTCATTCGTTACCTTCTATCCGATTGAATCGGTCATCGCAAAAGCTTCGTAAGTCACATAATATGAATTTTTCAGGAGACAATAAAAACTGTCACCGAAATGAGCCAGGTTTGAAGCGCTGTTTTGGGCTTAATGCATTTGACTCCTAAAAGTTTGAAACTCCATTTCACTGTTTACTATTTATAATAATAATGGAATTAACCCGAAAAACTGATATGGACTTGAGTTGTTTTAGCAGAAAACCAGCTTTTTCTGATGTAACCCACCAGGTAAAATAAAGGCCATTTATTATAAAACTTCAGCAAGATAGTCATATTGTTTCATTGCTTATTATTCCAAATTGCACTTGAATATTGACTTAACAAGATGCCATATTTTAGTTTTGCATGTTTTAATATGTTTCAGGTACATAGTTAACCTCTCTGTAAAAATAACGACTACGTCTAAGGAATCGTAAAAGCGCCTACAAAGGAGTAATGGGTGAATTTAAATCTTGATGCGAAACCAGCTTTCTATTCAGTTTGCGCTGGATATTTGTGTGTGATATTTAACCGCGAGGTGTTTCCGATTCATAAACAAAATGTGTATGTAATTTTTACCTTCGGTAATACCCTCGTTTTAATCTTGACCTTGATTTTTAGCGAAATCCTGGTTTCTGGTGATCTGCTTGTTCGCGGTATTTGTGACGATTGCTGCAATCTCAAGTGATGGTAAGACACGGCAGGTATAGTGTGTCAAAAAAGTATTGGCACGCTGAAAAAGAAACAAGTAAATATATTAAGTGTCATATAAATCCGAACACCCAGTTTAAATGGTTTTATTTTAATAAAATTTTGTATAAGTACTTAATGAAGCTTAATAAGTGAATGATAAAAATTTCAAAATGATTGCACTGCTTTAAAGCCCTTTGACCTTTAATAATGTGTGGATGCACCCTGATGTGCTATGCATTCTCCAACGCGCCTAGGCATGCTTCTGATCAGGTGGTTAATGTCCTCCTGTGGTATCTCATTCCAGGCAACCACCAACTCCTCTCGAAGTGCTTCTAGAGTCTGAGGAGGACGTTGCAAATTGAGCAATCTCCTACCCATCATATCCCACACGTGCTCAATTGGGGATAAGTCGGGAGATCTTGGTGGCCATGGTAACAATGTGACATCATTATGTTGAAAGAAGTCTATTGTGACTCTTGCAACATGTGGTCGGGCATTATCTTGTTGGAAAGTTGGATCTGTCAGGGTGTCAAGATAGGGTAAAAGATGGGGTTCTAGAACTTCGTGGATATAACGCTGCGCGTTCATGTTACCTCTGATGAAGATTAAAGGTGACCTGGAACCATAAGCTATAGCACCCCAAACCATAACTCCAACAGTGTGATGAACATGTCTTTCAACAAAAAACTGTGGATTCCTCCTTTCACCACGTCGCCTTCTAACTTCTAACGCTGGCACGACCATCGTGCATGCCTAAACAAAATCGAGACTCATCACTAAAGACAATACTGTTTCATTCCTGATCCCAGAGTGACCGTTGTCTGCACCACTCAAGGCGATTACGTCGGTGTTCTCGAGTTAAAGGGAGGACCCAGTGTGGCCGGAATGAAAACAAGCCAAAACTTCTCATTCGTCGGTAAACACTTCGCATGCTAATAGGTCTTCCGTGTTCTGCAAACCATTCATTTGCAATGGACCTGGTAGTGGAGAAACGGTCCCTTAAGGCCAATAATCTTAGGCGGCGATCTTCACGGTCTGTTGTTCTATAGCGGCGTCCAGTGCCCCTTGCTCTTTACGTACGGCCTTCTCGAAGCCATGCCTTACAACACCTAACCACAGTGTCTACACTTCTTTGCACCCGAAGTCCCACTATACGGCCCCTATCAAACTCACTAAGTTGACGAAATCGTACAGGTCTCCGTACTCTAGGCATCGTAACCGATCGTAAAGGATGTCAAGAACCAAAATCCGCCAACGTTGATTCTTTACTGCGGCTGAAATATTCATTTTTAGAGCGTTAGTGAATTAAAAAAAAGCAGTATAAAAACCGGAATGTCCAACTGAACTGAACATTTTTTCACTTATATACAGTAAGATAAATATATTCACCAATTTTTATTAAAATAAAACCATTTAAACTGGGTGTTCGGATTTATATGTCACTTAGTATAAGTTTCTATAAAATGTATTTACTGTTACTACCCTTGCATTTGCATCAACTGTGATCTGAGGATACAAGATTCTGAGTTATTTCTAGTCCATTTCAATCCTATTCTTGCATAACATCTTGTAGCTGTCATTTCGAATAATCTTTATTCGGGTCCAGCGAGTACCACAAATGATCTATGGGATTTGGTACCCGGAAAATGGGTGTGCTTAGGATCACTATGCTGCTGAAATTGCGCAGAATGTCAACATGCTTGTCTGCATTCGTATTGCCCTCGATCAAACTTAGCTTTCCAAGACTGCTCTACGATATGCAGCCCCAAACTGAAACGCTCCCGCGACGGTGTTTCAGTATTTAGAGTACTTCAAATCAGTTTTAGGTTTTTCCACATACTTTATGTACATTTGCGACCGTCAGAGCCGAAAAAATGGTGCTTGCTTTTATCTGAAAAAAAAAATAGTTTTCTTCCAAAGCTCTAGTACGTCTAGAAATCACAAGGTGGTGCCCTAACGGGCAAAACCACAGTGCAGAACCAACTCCCTACGAGGGTCCAACGATACTTTATGAGGAAATTAGGTTTAGTACACGACATGGATTTTTTTATATTTTCTGATAACTATTATGACTTGGCCTATCCCGCGTTTCCGGTTTCACGCCGACTTCTGTGACACTCATAACTTAAATAAATACTGCTCGGATTTGGATGAAATTTTTAAGCGTCAAGAAAATTTCTGAAAATCGGTCCAGTGGCGTCGGAGAATAATGCCAAAAATGAAAAAAATAAAAACCGCTCAAATAGTCTCTTGATTTTTCAGAGGATTCTGATTATTTTTGGAAAATGTTTTAGGGGTAAAACAGTGGGGATGAGGGCACATAGGGGACGGCGTATCATAATTTACTTGTGCTAGTATATCAATACACTTTCTGCCTCGGTAATTCTAAGCACCTATTAGACATACTTCACAGCAAAAATAATACTTTCAGTATATGAAAAATTTTGAAATACCTACTTAAAGTTAATTCATATGTATCTCTAACTATGTATTAAGAATGCACTTTCTCGTAGAGATGTTTGCAAATTGCCATAAACCGTTAATCCAGAAAGGTACTACACACTGTTGTGAGAGGTCGTGATTTGTCACTGAACCAGCGACCTTTGGGGGATCTATTTTCAGTCATTTACTCTAACGATCATAGTTGAAGACATACATTATTGGTATTTCTAGTACATTATTGTCAGTCGCTGACAGAGGATACTTTGAGAATTCATAGGAACGATTTCGCTTGTGTACAGCTATGGCCAGCACTGGTTTCTGCGTAATGATGACTCACCTAGCTATTATGCAATTCCAAGATGTTTAATCACCTTGTTTATCTAGATGTGTATTGTATACCAAAATCCAGAAAATTAGATTAAGGCCGTGACACACAGCAACACTCGACAGAATGATTGTTGCAATTATCTAGAAGCAGTGGCGTAGTCAGAATATTATCTGAAAGGCTTCTACCCGAATTTCTGCATGTTTGCACTCTCAGTAACTGCAGTGCCTTGTAATTGTGTAAAAGACCAGGCACCAAGTGTAAGGGAATTTTAATGTTGACAAGGATCGTTGCTGAAAATCGCTTTTTGAATCATTCTTAATGTTCATGACTGAGAGTAACAGACCTTGTTGAGGTTGAATTAAGTTCAAATTTTATTTCCCGTGTATTTTTTAAAAATCCATCGTCACATTTCTGTTATCAATGTTTAGGTGAAATTAAGTTCAAACTTTGTCTCTTGTGTATTTTTAAAATTTTCATTATGCCAAGTTTTGTTTCATGCATGTTATTTCTTTTTCAGTGGGATGTCCTCCATCAAGTTCAATGCTTTCGTGCAGTCCTAAGTGCAAAGAAGATAGTGAATGTCAAGGAAGAAAATGCTGTCCGAATATCTGCAACATGAAGTCATGTGTACCTGCAAATCACAAAAGTAACAGCAACGATGGGTACAAAGGATCAAGTCAAAGTGAGACGTAACAGATTTATAATTTTATTTGCAATAGTACCTACTTATATAGAGTTGAAAGTTTTTCTTTGACTATATAATATCTATAACAGATCTAAAAAAAATATAGAAATTCCTAACCATCCCCAAATTTAATTAATCAATATTTTATCGACTCGGTGCGACAAATACCTAGCACTGTCGATACGAATACTATTTCTAAATATCTTAATTCCAAATGTAAAACCGCAGAATTTGAAGTGAAACTCGTTAGTGAAGATGACGTTTTCTGGGCAATATCGGAGATAGGGTCAAACGCATCTGGTGGGGACGAAATTAGCCTTGACATGGTGAGGTTGTGTTGTCCAACGATCTTAACCGTGCTTGTTAACCTATTTAATTCCTGCATATAAAAGGGCATTTTTTCTGTGCAATGGAGAACGGCTGTGGTCTTGCCGCTGCCTAAAATTAGCAGCCCTAAGGATGTCTCTGAGTTGCGACCAATTAGTATACTACCAGTGCTGTCTAAAGTAATTGAAAAGCTTTCATTACTTATTTCACAGATAATAATTTATTACCCAAGTTGCAGTCTGGATTCCGTAAAGGATTTGGTACTACTACGGCACTGTTGAAGGTTCTAGATGACATTCTTTTGGCTGCGGTCAAGGGTGAAAGTTCGGCATTGGTGTTGTTGGACTTTAGCAAGGCCTTCGATACCCTGAACCATGCATTGCTGTGTGCAAAACTTTTCTACTACGGATTTAAACTTAAGACTATTCAACTTATTCGTAGTTATTTGGATGATGGATCGCAGTCGGTCTCAATTGTTGGCTGAAATCAAAACCCTTGAACGTGGATAGAGGACTTCCTCAGGGATCACTTTTGGGTCCTTTATTTTTTATCATTTTTACTGCTGATATGTCGGAGTGCTTTGGTGATATAAACAATCATAGATACGCTGACGATACACAGATTCAGCTTTCTTTTGCTAAGTCGGACGCAATTGAAGCCGCTAGGAGGCTAAACGAGTGTTTGGATTCAGTTTTTAGATACTCTTTTAATCATGGCTTGAAATTGAATCTTAATAAATCAGCCACAATCTACTTTGGGCCGGGCCAGCTAAAGACTGGGGCTCTGTAAACTTGGTGATAGCAATGGATGGTGTGGCAATACCGGTTGTTGAGGAATATAAAAATTTGGGGGCTATCTTTGATAACAAGCTTAGATTCCGAAGTCATGTGTATAGGCTTCTACAAAAAGCCTATTTTAATCTTCGCAATATTATTTAAGTAAAGATACTCTTAGTTTTAAGTTAAAAAAGGTTCTCTGCGAAACACCGGTCTTGTGTCACCTTAACTATTGCAACTTTGTGTATGGTCCTTGCTTAGATGTATTTACTAAGAATAAACTCCAAAAAGTGCAGAATTCTTGCATACGACTTATTTACCAGCTCAGACGTCACGATCATGTCAGTCAACCTTCCGATCTGAAATTGTTGAATGTTTCCAATCGAGAAAGGCTGCATTTTGCTTGCTTTCTTCATAAATTGATTAAAACTAAAAGCCCTCCATATCAGATTGAAAAATTAACTCTTAGAAATCTGATTCACTCTCGTGCAACACGCTTTAATGTACTTTATGAAATACCTAAAAAAGCTAGAACCATGACTCAAAGCTCATTTTCCTATACATCAGTCAAACTTCTAAACCAATACAATATAGGTCAATTTGAAGATATGTCTCCTTATATGTTCAAACAAAAACTGAAACAGCTGCTTCTGTGAAGTATACGTTGTTTATTATTGCTTATTTTCTTTGTATACGTACATCTGTAGTTATTATTGTTCATTGTAGTTATGTAATATTCTAAAATTAATGCAATGTAAAACTTGTTTCTTGTCATATTACTTTCCTTTTGGCTTGTTACTTGTTACTTTTTACTCGTACATGCTCGGTTAAGTTAACAGCATAGCTGGCCTTCGCCGAGTTTAAAATAAAGGCGTTTTTATTTATTTATTATTTATAGTATGTTTATTATGAAGGAAGGCTGGTCTATGTTAAAGCTGTGCTTACCTATCGAAGTGTCATCAGATACAGATACTCAAAAACAAGGTTCAACCTTTGATGTAGAATTTATAAGTGATATGAAATTTAGTCTTTGGTCACGGCAATATTTTTATCGTGAAAATGAAATGAAATATTTCGTTTCCTTACGTCAACCTTATTGTAAATGAAGTATTGCGTCCTAGTCATGTATTGCAGGCCATTCGTTGTGGATACTAAAACATAAGGTTTCACAGGTTTATACAGGGTGACTTCGAAGTTGAGTCATTTATTTTAACAGTGAGTAGATCTGATCAAAAGAAATGTTTTTTCCTTTACCATTTTTCTGGTAAAATTAAAGTAACAAAGTTGTAGCCCTTTGGAAGTTTGAGTACCGCCCAGTCTCAATAATAATATTATGTGCTCGTGTTTGGCAACAACGGATATAATCCGCCTTATCGGTTCATCGCATCGGAAACAAAAAAGCGAAAGAATTTGCAAAGATGTTTTTACAATTATTTTATTCAGTTGTATACAGTCAGTGTCAGTCGGTAACGCATGATTGAATAGTGGTGTCTGTTGCGTGGCTCAAACGAAATAAAAAGTGGCACATGTTTACGAAAATGCTGAACTTGTGGACATGATTCTTATTTACGCGGCATCACGGATTTATGCGGATCGGTTTCCCAATCGAGTGCAACCAACCCCTCGTGCCTTTGTTAATGTAGTACAAAGGGCTCGTGAATCAGGTGACTTAAGACCTCACAGGGGAGGGCATGCCGGTGCTCCAAGACCGCACGATCAAATACAGGTCCGCACTGAAATACTTGTCGGGAGGATACTTTATAAAACAAGGTAACATTTTTTTTTATTTTTACACACATGTTTTGGTTTATCTTCCTTCTACAATCATTATCTGAAAATTAATGACTCAACTTCAAAGGAAAGATGCAGGACTGAGTACGAAACTTGAGCAGGAACCGTGTCGATATGATAAAAATGTGTCAAAGGGATTCCACTAATGCCTCTGAAAATACATCTCGATGGGTTCAACAGCACCAAATTGTCCTATCTGATGGTTTACCTTACGTTCGTATAAAAAATGTATCAACTTCTTCTCTCTGTTTCAGAAACGGCAACAGGGACTTACTGCGGCAATGTGAAGTGTGGCCCATACGAGAAATGCGAACTAGATAGAACCACCAAGAGACAGAAGTGTGTCAGATCTTAAACAATGTCATATAATACTGGAAGATGCCTAAATATATATTATGTATACTCTAGCTATATGTAACTTAAAGATTCAACATACAATGTGTCTGGTCACGGCATACCGATATTAAAGAGGGGTATTTTTCAGGTACTTTTATCGAAAAATCCATCCCCCTACAATGTCCTACCTCATCCCCATTGAAATGGCAGCACTTCTTATTTTTACGTTACGAGTATGGTATGGTGTAATAAATGAGTACGTGAGTGTCTCAGAATGATAAATTTGGTGTCATTTGAACGATGAAATGTTGTCCTAGCGATTATCGAAAAACTTGCTTTGATACTAACTGTCAAACATACTTAAAAGCAGAAAAAAAACAGAAAAAAATACTGAAGAAAATTGATTATTTTGTGCATTTCCGCACTCCATTAAAAACTAGTCTGTGAAGTTGTACTTTTTTGTGCTAATTCTACAGCTTTTTGTTATCTTAAGTATTCTACGTTAACCAAGAGATGCTATCTAACATGGGTCAAAATGAGCGTAATACAATGCAAATTGTTTTCAAACTTCTTATACCTAAAAATGGCAAATCAATGTTTCTTATAGAGAGTTTGGACATCTTTTAATGTTACAGAAGCTGTTCAAAATGTCCTCCATTATTGGTTCTGCACATTGTTGTTCTTAAAACAATGAGTCGTGTTGAGCGGCAGACTATATCCGTGTCAGCCCTAATTTCGTTCGCAGCGGTATGGGTCCATTTCAAGCGGGGTGAGGTAGGACATTGTAGGGGGTGTAATTGGCGATAAAAATACTGAACGCTATTTTTGCTAACAGCCAATAAGTCTGCCATTTCACCTATCAATCTTCTTGCTAGTAAAATTTTACTATTTTTATTGAAAATTGTCATATCTTAATATAACACTGAAAGGCTGGCACTCTACTACTAATGCTGCCCGTATCTTTTACGATTTTTAGATTTATATTTGAGAGAGCCAGACAGGGCCTTTTAGGTGTATGTTTAGGTACTCGAACTGGAGTATAGTTCACGGCACGCAACAAAGGGTTACTCTGTGAGCTTGCGCTTTCATAACGCTTCTTAGCCAGCAACCTGATCTGCTCAAAGATCGTTCCTATTTGTAGATCTCTGTCAATGGTGTCATTGGGCACATACTATAGTGCGGAGAATTTTGTTTTGCATGACTTGCAAAGTTCGCACAAGAGACTTGGAGGCAAAGCACCAAGCCGCACATGGGTAGGTCAAAGCAGGACAGACAATCATAGTATAAAAGCGATTTAATTTCAAATTTCAGTTCAGTAGCGGATACAAGTGGCGAAAAGTTATCAATGTAATTTTGGCTAAATTTTGAATATGAGTCTTCCAAATCTAATGTGACACCCAAATATTTCGCAGTTGTTCGTCATGGGACAGGAACATCATTAACCGAGATCTGCTCTAGTGCAGAATGCCCTTTCTGTGTAAAGTAGGCGGCCTGTGTCTTAGGCTCATTAATTTAGATGCGTCATCGGAGGACCCACTTATATACATATACTTCATCCACGGCAGCCTGCAGTCTCTCAGTCACCCACTCAGGCGAGTGTGAAGAGACTACCAGAGCCGTGTTATCCGCATAAAGACGCACCTCGCAGTGGGTGGGGCAAGGAATATCATGAGTATATAAAGAATAGAGACTAGGCGCCAGGATCGCCCTGGGGGACGCCTGTCCTGATAGGATGATACGTAGAATAAGTATCCTTAATTTTGATCCTGAGCTTTCTTCCTTCCAAGGAGGATTTAAGCAATTTTGACCGCCAAAAGGGAAATCCCTTATTGATTAATTCATAAAACAGCCCTGCATGCCACACCTTATCGAAAGCATTTGAAATATCCAAAAGTAACTACAGTACTTTGATTTCGAGTGAATCCCGAAGTTATCGTCTCCACAAGTCCCATTGCCTGTTGCTTCGTGTTGTGCTCGACGCGAAATCCGAATTGTACGTCAGTAATTGTCTGGAGATCAAAACATTAATATTCTAGATGAGTATGAATCACCTTTTCGGTTAATTTAGACGGAGAAGGCAATAGACTTATGGGGCGATAGTCCTGAGGAAAAATCGATCCCGCATGTTTCGGGATCATCACAACTTCAGCGATTTTCCAGTCTCTTGGAAAATATTAGAACCATTGCATTATTTGTAGGAGATATGTCAAATCCCTCGGAAACAAAAGTTTCAGCGCCTTATTGGTGATTTGATCCCCTCCCGGTGCTTTGTGGAGCTTAAGGTCTTTGACATGGCCGTGGCTTTGAAATATCTCCTAACGAATCTTTGAACGTGTTCTTCCTCGTCAAGGTCGTTATCCAAGTCGTAATTAAGAGAGAACTGTCCCTCCATGGTGTCTGCAAAAACTGCCGCTTTCTCCTCGCTGGTAAAAACCATGCCACCTCGACCGTGGATTGGTGGCAGTTGTTCCCTCTTACCATTTCTTCGAGACCTTCCAACGCGCCAAAGTGAGATGGAGTTGATAATCATCCGTCCGCGGAAGCTATTCCATTCTTCATTTCGGTATTCAAATAAAGCGTACCTAATGGAATAGACAAGATTCGTGGCCCTTCTAATGTTTTCAGGGCGACGAATGCGTTTAGCGATCTTAATGGCTGATCTTTTATCCCTGATCCTTTGGCGAATATCAGCAGGAAGAAAAGGAGTATCAGGGACACTTAACACTCTACAAGCAAAATGTATGTACGATTACAATTATAGTATAAGAGCCGACTGCATATTTTTTGTTTCATAGCGTACTGAGATGATACGATAAAAACTAGTATTTTCTTGGTAAAATGCACACCTCCTAGATTACATATTGATGGAGGTATTTAATTTAAAAAATGAAAATAAAATATACAGGTGTTACATCGCGTACCGTGATATAATTTCATAGACCTTCATCACGCAACGAAATAGGACATCGGGAAGTTATTACTTACGCTTTTCCGCAGCAGTGTCGTGGATTTGCTAATGGAAAATGTAACTAGAGAAAAATTTGCCGAAGTTTTATCAGCCTCTGGTCTGATGAAACCACGTACAGTCTTTTTCAAAAATGCCCCCTCCCATACTCATTTTTCGAACGCTTCAAGTTAGTAAGCTGAAATTTCAGACAATTAAACTAATGAATGAAACCCATACTTTAGCGTAAAAGTGGCAATTGAAAGTTTCAAGATGGCGGCTAAGCGCCATGTTGGAAATTGTTTTCAAATGTAATGAATGAAACCTCATTTTGAAGCTCCTTCTGAGTACTTTATAACCTTGAAATAATGAATCACTGTCTTCTGAAATGGCGGACTGGCACGCTGTTAATGTCGAGCGTTTTTGTACCGGATGGTCCAATAATAAAGGACGCCGGAAGTATCTCTGCAACTTCTCAACTTCAGCTTCCTAAAATGGTCGCGTCATTCCAAGTTAAAAAATTCAGACGTCATTATTTTGCTGGAATTTATAATTTTTGTTTTCGTCATTTTCTCACATTTTGGTTAATGTAGGGTTTAATGTCACTTCAGACAAAGTGGCAGAACTTCTGTTTGGCTTCACCAATTTTGATGACCTTGGTTTCCTTTGAAAGCGTTTTCATCTGCGCTCCTAACGAATGTTAGGTGTTATCAAAAATGAAAGAAGTAGGTTGAATACATGCTTTTATTGAAATGATAAAATGAAGGTGCAGTTAAGCGAAGAAAGGGTACATTTTAGCGATGGAAGGTGATGCCTTATAGTAGACCATGGACAAAAAACTGATCAATGTTATGTCTTACATCTCTTGCGATATGCTTCATGCGATCTGCAGACAAACTGAGCGGCGATGTTATTTTTACACTTTGCCGTTTTACATAGCTTCTCTTTGTCTGCTTTGGCATCTGAAAAAAATTCAATAATGATATATATATATGTCATAAAAACAAATACAAGAAAGTGATTCTGATTTCTTTTAATTGATATTTGAAAGAAAGCATAGCTAACATTGCACCTCTATCTAATATCCTCGATGTAGATGTATTCCTGCTTTTTGGATGCAAACTGCTGGAAAAATATAACACCAGCCAGCAAGCCAGACAATTCACATTCTCCCAAATAACTTGCCACGATGTTAAGAGATTTTTCCGGAGTATCAAAAGTAATGCCTTGGGTGTTGATGGAATCAACCTAAGTATGCTAACAATCATATTCGATTTGCTAATTGAAAATATAACTTTCATCATCAACTATGCAATTGTATAGTCAAACTACCCCAACTGTTGGAAAAAAGCAAATGTTCTCCCCCTAGCTAAAATAAGTAACCCTACAGACATTTCACATCTGAGGCCGATAAATATACTACCAGCATTTTCCAAGTTATTAGAACTAGGTATCTGACTACATTTTCTCTAATGGTATCATTCCTGAAATCCAATCGGGTTTCAAGAAAATTCAGAGCACAACAACAGTTTTAGCTAGCATCACGGATGACTTAATCAGATGTGTAGATCAATGAAATTTAGCATGCTTAGTGTTACTTGATTATACAAAGTCTTTTGATACTCTGGAACCATCTATTCTTGTAAAAAAGCTTATATACTTTGATTTTTCGGAATCTGCAATTAATTTTGTATTAAGTTATTTCACTGACAGGAGTCAGATGGTTGTGATTGGGTCAAGTATCTCGGAGGAGATACCAGTTAAACTAGGGGTACCACAGGGTTCCATTATTGTTCTCAATTTACATTTCTGACTTCTACGAGTACGTTGAACACTGCAGTATTCATCACTATGCTGACGGCACTCAATTGTACTTTGGCTTTGATATTAAAGATTTAAAAAATGCCGAACATTTGATTAATGAAGATTTAATGAATTTATATAACGTATCTAGTGCCCACAATCTTAAAATTAACCCCTTAAAATCATTCGGAGTTATATACTAAGTGACATATAAATCCGAACACCCAGTTTATATGATTTTATTTTAATAAAAGTTGGTGAATGTATTTATCTTACTGTAAAAAAGAAGTGAAAAAATTTTCAGCCTTATCAGTTGGACATTCCGGTTTTTATACTGCTTTTTTTTTAATTCACTAACGCTCTTAAAATGAATATTTCAGCCGCAGTAAAGAATCAACGTTGGCGGATTTTGGTTCTTGACATCCTTTACGATCGGTTACGATGCCTAGAGTACGGAGACCTGTACGATTTCGTCAACTTAGTTAGTTTGATAGGGGCCGTATAGCGGGACTTCGGGAAGCTGGACTTTCTTTTCGGGCAATTGCAGTTAGAGTGCAAAGAAGTGTAGACACTGTGGTTAGGTGTTGTCATGAATGGCTTCGAGAATGCCGTACGCAAAGAGCAAGGGGCACTGGACGCCGCCGTAGAACAACAGACCGTGAAGATCGCCGCCTAAGATTAATGGCCTTAAGGGACCGTTTCTCCACTACCAGGTCCATTGCAAATGAATGGTTTGCAGAACACGGAAGACCTATTGGCATGCGAAGTGTTTACCGACGAATGAGAAGTTTTGGCTTGTTTTCATACCGGCCACACTGGGTCCTCCCTTTAACTCGAGAACACCGACGTAATCGCCTTGAGTGGTGCAGACAACCGTCACTCTGGGATCAGGAATGGAACAGTATTGTCTTTAGTGACGAGTCTCGATTTTGTTTAGGCTTGCACGATGGTCGTGCCAGGGTTAGAAGGCGACGTGGTGAAAGGAGGAATCCACAGTTTTTTGTTGAAAGACATGTTCATCACACTGTTGGAGTTATGGTTTGGGGTGCTATAGCTTATGGTTCCAGGTCACCTTTAATCTTCATCAGAGGTAACATTCTAGCACCCCATCTTTTACCCTATCTTGACACCCTGGCAGATCCAACTTTCCAACAAGATAATGCCCGACCACATGTTGCAAGAGTCACAATAGACTTCTTTCAACATAATGATGTCACATTGTTACCATGGCTACCAAGATCTCCCGACTTATCCCCAATTGAGCACGTGTGGGATATGATGGGTAGGAGATTTGCAACGTCCTCCTCAGACTCTAGAAGCACTTCGAGAGGAGTTGGTGGCTGCCTGGAATGAGATACCACCTTAGGACATTGACCACCTGATCAGAAGCATGCCTAGGCGCGTTGGAGAATGCATAGCACATCAGGGTGCATCCACACATTATTAAAGGTCAAAGGGCTTTAAAGCAGTGCAATCATTTTGAAATTTTATCATTTACTTATTATGCTTCATTAAGTACTTATACAAAATTTTATTAAAATAAAACCATTTAAACTGGGTGTTCGGATTTATATGTCACTTAGTCTATTTGGACCAAAAATCAAAAAAAGTCGGGCAAAACCATTACCACCATTGAGCATTTAGACCAACCGATCCCGATAAAAAATGAGTGCAAGAATTTATGACTCTGGATTGATTCTGATTTAAGGTTTGAAAAACTTGTTAGTCAACTGTGCCGAACATCATTTTGGGTCTTGAAGCAACTATTTCCTCATAGAAAAAGTATGAATACTGGTCTCCAGCTGAAGTTGTGCGAAACCTTAATATGGTCTAGAATTCACTACTGTGACTATATTTATGGGCCTGCTCTAAGATCGATTGAGATAACGAGCCTTCAGACTATTCAAAATGCGTGTCTTAGATTTGCTTGTAGAGTGAGAAAATTTGAGGCAGTATCACATAAATATCGTGAGCTGGATGTTCAAAAAATAAAAGAGCTACAAAAATTGCACGTATTGACCTTGACCCATAAAGTAGTCACAACACAAGCCCCTCCATATCTATCAACCAAATTTATGAGATACTCAGATGTTAATCAACTGAACACAAAGAGTAAGCATATCTTGGCTCTCCCGAGACATTAGACATCCCTATTTAAAAGGTCGTACATATATACTGTTATCAAGCTATACAACGCGTTGCCTACCAAGTTCACTCACTACTGTATAAAGAATGTTAAAAAAAGATTGAAGCATTTTATCTCTGATTTCGTTGCCCAATAAGTAGACCATGGCCATGAATAGGGACTCGTTACAGGTTTTTTTTAACTTTTTTGTTTTCATTGGGATTAGAAAATTTACACAAATATTTATTGGGTTAAGTTGAAAAACGCTTTTTAGCGAAGCTGCGCCTTTTTATACTTTGTATAAATAATGCCGGATTATTATTATTATTATTGTATAGAGTATTACAAATAATTCTATACTAAAGACCATCAGCCACAAATCAAGATTTTGTGCATAATTCGGTACCAAATTTTGTAAAAAATGCAATACTGAACTTAGTTACCAATTTTCTCACTAATTACAATCCTGTCCGTCACATAAAGAAATTTTTCAAATGCGCGGTCGGTGGAAAAAAGTGTCAATTGCCATTATTTGTCACGTCAATGTCATTCTAACCACACTTTTCGTTGCTACTGTATTCCTTCATTACATTAAACGAATAGAAAATTGTAGGAAATAGAGAGATAGAGTAGTTTCCACCTCATGAAAAAACGAAGCAAACGAGATCGTAAAAGAATTTGGTGACGAAAATGGATTAGAAGATCTTCTAGTGGAGGATCCACCGACTTATTAGATGATTTTTTTTTAAACCCAATGTACAATTCGAGTATCTTTTGTCGTTAATTGAAGGCAGAATATCAAGAATTCATACTGTTTTGCGAGAGGCTGTCACAGCAATAAAAGCGTTTAGGGTTAAGTTTGTGTTTGTCAGTTAACACAAAACGCAAAACTCCTTGTCACGTAGCGCTTCTAGCAGCCACTGAAAAAATTTTGCCCTCAATTTGTTTTTACAAAATTATGTACTGAATACTGTCTGAGACTAATTTTGCTCGAAATTTAGTGTGCCAAATTCAGCACAAAATTTTGTATCGTGACGGACGGCCTTGATGAAGTGTTATAGGGATTCTATCAAGTACCTTAATATTGGCTTATTCTGGAAAGTGATCATTTAACCAAATAGTAGTTACAGAATACAGTTATACAGGGCACACGGCGAATAAATTAGAGGTAAGAGTCGTAGCCCAAAACATAGCGTTCATAAAATAGCTGAACACGTGCCGTTCTTATTTGGCCAAAGATAAATGTGTGTTGCCATATAGATAATCCTTTTTGAATGAATTTCATTGTCTATCACTTGCCGAGAATCCAATTTTTTCAGCCTCAAATTGTTTATTTGACCAATCGTCGGTGTAGTTGATGCCAGTTATCTTGACAACTTGGCACTGAGACAATATATTTACTTATTTCGCATAACTTCTTGACGACGACACCAAAAAGACTCAACCCCATCCAGCTCAGTATAAATGTAGAATTTTCTAAACATTTTATCTCAGTATGACAACACCGGCTCGATACATGCTGAGTGCAAATGAAACTTGCGGATCCTTTGTAGAATGTCGAGCCATCTATGAGCGAATCGACAACCAAAGGACGATCATAGAGTACTGTTTATTTTTTTGTAAACTAGTAAATAGTCCAAGAAACAAGTTTTGGTTACATGTTAAAAGCTAGTCAAATCTGACGTATTTTGCCTGCACATCTTTCAACTGGATCTGATATGCTGTGGTTGGATATCCTAATCAGTGATGATGTTGAGAATTTTGATAGTACGCAACTCTTAACGAACTTATTAAAAATAGAAGGAAGTATTACCACGCAAATGCTAACAACAGTACCTACTTGTACCTAAATATATCAGACATTTTAGAAACCTTCCATATGGGGAATTCGAAAAAGGTAAGAACGCCTATGGAAAGTAATAAAGGAGAGGAAGATCAACCTGTAAAAAAAATTCCTGATCGTTAGCTGATTGGAAGTTTGCTGTATGTTGCAAGTAAAATAAGACCAGATTTTGCATATGCTGTTGGCTACTGGAGCAGAAAAATAAAAAACCCCACTAACTGTGATGTAGAAAATATGAAGAGAGCGCTACGCTACTTGAAATTGACTGAAAACTATGGAATAAAATTTTATAGCGACTGATGGAAGTGAAGTAACAACATACAGTGACTCTGACTTTGCTGGTGATTTGGAAAGAAGGAAGAGTACTACTGGATATGTTGTAATATAGTGTGGTGGACCTATTGTACCCTAAAATACACAGGGTGCTCCATTTAATAAAAATACAACTTTTTTGGTAGCACTTAGACCCGGTATATAAAAAATGTTCTTCATATTAGACTGTGTAACTTATGTATACAACTTTTTTTCTAGAAGGTCACATAAAAAGTTAGGGGGCGTCAATTTAAAGCCACCCTATGGTTAAAATTTAGATAGGTCGAAAATAAAGGATTATCCCGAAAATGCTAGCAACTATACTTACGTGTAGAAGTTAGAGTGGCGAAGATAATCGCCACCAGGAAGAACATGATGAACAACTTCATTTTGAAGGGTGTATTGTTGTAGGCAGTGTGATGGAAGACCAAACTGTATACTGAAGCCGTTAAGCGCACGGTATTTATACGCCTTTTCGTTTTTCCAATTAGCGATAGGGAGAGAACGTAGTTTTTTGGTGTAAGTAAAATGTGTAACTGTCTGCAATTAACCTGCCGATAGAATTAGCAATTAACTCATATCAGATAATTGCAAATTGATCATTCCGTCCAAAAAGTGTATTCCTTCATACGCCACTGGGCGAGAATTGTAATCGCGTAAAATTTCGAAAATAAGATAGTGCCTTTTGATGACATGTACATCACGAGAAACCATGTCACCCATTTCCGTCTGTTTGTCTGTCGGTCTGTCCGGTAATCCTTGGACCCTCTTGGAAAGTACTGCTCGGATTTGAATGAACTTTTTACACAAGGTTACTACCAAGCCGAGAACGGTCTGTAGTTTTTGACCCCGGTAATCCTTCGCACCTGTTTGCCATATTTCACACTACTCAGGGTTTTCCGTGAATTTGACTTTAAAAATAATAGAGATACATTATATTTCTGCTATCTGGGCTCAGCGCCCGGCGTAACGGTCTTCTTGATTGTTCAGTTCGTACTGCGGCGGTGCTTCGTTTGATTGTATGGAAAAGGGTAGCGTTGGCAAATGGACGATAACTACCAGTCGAGCAGGGAAATAATGTCTATGGACCAATTGTATGGGCCTGTTTGACTGACTTTTTTCTTAGAGGATTTAAATTGCGCTGAAACCAATCCTTTATGAGGTGATGACGTCGTTGAGTAGGAAGTGCAGAGTCAACCTACTAATAAAAATGAAAGTTTTTTCTAAAAAATATCGAAACTTAGAGGTAGATGAAGGTAAATCTACTATAGTCGAAATCACGAAATATGACGATTACGTCATCATTTTACTTTGTAGTAAAAACAAACGACAGCGATTTGTTAATATTTTTAATGAAGTTTCAGACATGCTAGACAGAGACAAACAGAATTTTATTGTCTAAACAACCTGTATTGTTAATTTGCATGTATCCGACAGAGAAAGACGATGTTTGCATGTTGCATGATCGATGATATTTGAAAGATGAATATTTAGGTTATGTTAAAGTAGGTTAGGTTGTGTTCGAATAATACTTTGGTCTTTGGTGTTCCTGTCTTAGGGTATTCTACTCATAACTGTTTTTTTAAAACAAATACTCCCCACTAAAATTATTATTAAGGTATACCGCAAAACCATGAAATAAAATGAAAATAAAAATAATCAGTGAAATAACTTCGCAAAATTATAATATAAATTTGATGTCATTATGTTCCTGGCATCGTGATTTTATCATCGACGTACGTCCACTGATTACTTCAGTACAATTTATGGTATGACGTAATAGTCATCTTTCGTGATTTTGACGATATTAGTGCATGCATGGCCAGAAAACCTCGAGTTTTCCAGGCGACACCCATGACCACGCTACCGGTTATAGCCACTTCAAGCTCAAAGGATCTACAAAAAGCTAGGATCATGCGGAGAAAGGCATATAACAACTAGATTTAACTGTTTTTTTTTTACTAGATGTCGATTTGAAAACTGGCCATTATACTACAACAGTGTAGGTTGGCTTTTTTCGATGACTTCCTGTGTTGTTTAGTTCATCTCCATCTTCCTTTCGTCGTGTACACCCGTATCCGCATGTATGGGCATGTGCTTCTACTTTTGTAGTTGCATATGTGCATTCATTTCGGGCCTGATGAAGCCAACAAGCAGAAATACGTGCTCAGGTGATTTACCGTTATCTCTGCTCGAATCCACTTACCCTATTTTTGCGGATTTTGCCCACTATTTTTCTATTTTGATATGCCTTCCTCCGCATTATAGAGGGTGTAAACGTTATGGTAGTCATTATTGAAATGGGTAATAGGGGAGGTCAAAACAAGTCAAAAAATTCGTATGGTCCAAAAGTGAATAGATTTTTGTCTAAATAGCTTTATAGTTTTTATAATCTAATCTAAAACGTTTTTTAAATTGGATAATTAACAAAAAAATGGCATTAAGTTTTTCTAAGTTAAGCCAAAATTTGTAGTCAGTAAGTAGGTAAATTTCATTAAATTAAAAGTTTAAAACACACATGACAACAGCGCGTCGGCCTTTCATCACTCTCATCGAACCGGCAATCGATCGCAAACGGTAATCGTGGTTAGTTATTGGGCATCGGGCGTGTTAGTTTACGGTGAAGCTCGTGGCATTGCGGTGTTGTCGGATTTTATTTTACTGTAAAGTCGCTTTTCTCTAAAAAAATACCCTTTCGACCCCCATGTTATATGAAACATTTTGCTTCTTTCAACCCCTCTATCACCCATTTAAATAATGACTATCATAACGTTTACACCTTGTATAACATATTCCGTTGTTGTCCTGCTGATAAATATAGTAAATCTTCATTCTACCTCTGTGGTTTCATTGGAGAGAAAGTAAAATATAGAGATTATTAATTCATTACATTCATTTATTTGAATAAACCCTATTCACCTTCTCAGACCATTCATCATATATTATCATTCATTTTTATACCGATCATCGGTATGTCCTCTGCTAAGGCTTAAAACCTGTAAAATTCTCATTACTAAGGCTGGCTATGACAAATTATACAGTGTGGTGAATTGTAAATGTATTTGCGATAACACAAACGCTTTGAAAATGTTAGGCAGCATAAAAATACACTTTTTGGGTAGAATATTCAATATGCAATTATCTGATACGAGTTATTTGCAAATTCTATAAGCAGGTCAATTGTAGGTGATAACACATTTTACTCACATCTACAATTTATTTTCTCTCCTTATCGCTAATTGAAAAACGAAAAAGCGTATAAATACCTTCAGCTCAAGAGCTTCAGTACACAGTTTGGTCTTCCATCACACTACCTACAACAATACAGCATTCAAAATGAAGTTGTTCATCATGTTCTTCCTGATGGCGGTTATCTTCGCCACTCTCACTTCTACACGTAAGTATAGTTGCTAGCATTTTCGGGATAATACTACCTTCATTTCCAATAACTTTGTGTGTTGCCGCGATCTATCCAAATTTTAAATTGACGCCCTCTAACTTTTTATATGACCTTATAGAAGAAACATTTGCATACATAAGTTAGACAGTCTAATATGAAGTTTTTTATGTTTTTTATATACCGGGTCTAAGTGCTACCAAGTTGTATTTTTTAAAATGGAACACCCTGTATATTTTAACATACAATAGGTTCACCACAGTACATCACAACATATTCATCGTAGTACTCTTTCTTCTTTCCAAATCACCAGCAAAGTCGGAGTCACTGTATGATGTTACTTCACTTCCATCAGTCTTTATAAACTTTTACTCCACAGTTTTCAGTCAATTTCAAGTAGCGTAGCACTCTCTTCACATTTTATACATCACAGTTAGTGGGCTTTTCTATTTTTCTGCTCCCGTAGCCAACAGCATATGCAAAATCTGGTCTTTTTTTACTTGCAACATACATCAAACTTCCAATCAGCTCACGATAAGGAAATTTTCTATTTACAGGTTGATCTGCTTCTCCTTTATTAGTTTTCATAGGTGTTTTTACCTATTTCGAATTCTCCATATGAAAGGTTTCTAAAATGTCTGGTATATTTAGGTTGTTTGAGTACATTTCCATCAGAAACTTTTAGTATTTCCATTCCTAAAACAGTAGTAGGATTGTTCATCGAAACTATTCCAAAGTGTATTTTCAAGGTTTTAAATAAATATATTCCATTTCTTCTTCATCAGATCCAATCAATAATCCATCATCATCATAAATAGCCAGTATTAGTAATCCAGTTTGATTTTTGAAAACACAATTTTCTGTTTTAACTATTTGATCCTATTGTAATGGAACCATACAAAGCTTTTATTAAAAGACGTACTTTGTTGTCTTTAGCATATCCTTCTGGAACTTCCATGTAGATCTTTTCAACTAAGTCTTCATCGAAGAATGCCGTTTTATATCAAATTTTTTAATATGACAGTTATTTCTTGCAGCTATACCAAACATTATTCTCAAAGAACTAATATTCACTACTGGACTGAATGTTTCGTTACATTCCATATGTTTGTTCACAATCTCGTATCAATAGTGTTCCTTTGTATTTTCCATCATCCTTTATTGTGGAACCCCATTTGCTGCATAAGATTTTCTCATTTTCCACATCATTTTTATGAACATATTCCCAGGTATCATTTTTCTGCAATGATTCTATTCCATCTTTGATTGCTTCTGTATAGGCTAGCATCAGATATTTTTCAAATCTTCTTGGTAACCTTATTTCTCTTCTATGCCTTCTCCTAAATCTCCTAAGTCTCCACATTCACCAAATTCTTCTATTTTCACATGAGTATCACCTTTTTCTGTTATTTTTAATAAAAATAATAATAATAGACGTCTTTATTTATCCACAATTACATTGTAGTATAGCCAAGTGTCAGACTTATATGGCGAAGTTTAGCATGCTGCTACTCTTACACTTAACTATATAGTCTCTAGCAGATGTTCAAAAGAATACACTATCCACAAACAGATTTGGTTCATTACATCGAAAGTAAAATTTTAAAAAAGAGAAAAAGGCATACTTTCCAAACCCAAATGCACCAACAAAATTGTTAATCTGAATTAAAGATGGAATAAAAAAGAAATGAATGATTATGTAAATTATATGTTTGGAGGGTTGAGTAATAATGTTTTAACTTTTTGTCGAAAGACAGGTAATGAAAATTCTATATATACTTTAGGAAGGTCATTATAAATAATAGCAACATTGTAAGAAAAACTGCGTTTAAAAAGTGTAGACGTATGCAGGGGTATTCTAATATTATTTTCCCTGAGAGTTCTACAGTGAACATCATTATTAAATGAAATTTTTTCCTTCAAGTAATAAGGTTTTGACGTGAGCAGCAATTTGTGAACAAAAACTGAATAGTGATACTTGACCATGTCATCAATTTTTAACCAGTTTAGAACGGGATATTTCGCTGACACATGATCAAATTTACGTAAGCCAAAAATGAATCGTATACAATTGTTTTGAATAACTTGAATTACGTTTTTAGTGAAATTGTCTAAGCAAGTATAGTATACGATGTTACAATAATTTAGTATAGATATGACCAATGCTTCACATAGTTTTTTACGCTACTTAAAATTTAGTAAATACCTGTTTGCTATTAGAGTGCACAGCCGTAGGTAGGTTTCTTGAGATAGACTTTTAACATGTTCAATAAACCTTAATTTTGTATCAAAAACAACACCAAGAATTTTTGCAGAATCAGAAAATTGCAAAATTTGGTTATTTATCTGAATGTTCAAGAGCTGTGTTACATTGTATGTTTTTCTTTGTGCGCAAAATAATAACATTTTAGATTTTTGTGGATTAATAAGTAGATTGTGATCTAAAGAGTATTTAATTAATTTAATAACATCGTTTTGTAAAATTTGAGTGCAAATGACTGGACATGAGAATTATCAATACTTTTGCTTAAGTCGAACGTATATATGAGGAACAGAAGCGGCTCCAATACAGAGCCCTGAGGTACGCCTGAGGGAATTATTGTCACTTGAGACATTTCTTGATTGAGAAAAACACACTGAGTTCTTTGATGAAGGTAACTGTCGAAAAATGAAAGGGATACACTGTCAAGACCTATGTAATTTAATTTAGCAAGTAATAATTTATGATTGATGCTGTCAAAGGCTTTCGAATAGTCTATAGAGATTAAGGCTAGTGCGATTTTCTTATCTAAGGCACTTAAAATATTGTCTTGCAGATTAAGTAGGGCAGATGTTGTACTATAGTTTTTTCTAAAACCGGATTGAGTGTCGGGAAGTATAAAGAATTTTCCTAGGTAAGCGGTCAATTGGAACTTCGTAATTTTTTCTAAAATTTTGTATAAAATTTTCTTTCATTAAACACAACATCTCTTCTTATTAAAATGTTTCTTTGTTCATGATCCCAAAGTCGATATCCATTCAATGCATAACCAATGAAAATGTATTGTTTATGACTAACATCCATTTTTTTTTTGTTTTAGTTTTCCTAGCTCTTTCAGCTGGTGTTACTTCCAAACCTTCACTTGGGCTTCTATTTAATATATAAGCAGAAAATCTTACAGCTTCTGCCCAAAATGTTTTTTTCAATGATGACTCAAATAGCACTGCTCTTGTCTTTTCCATTATTGTTCTATTAAGTCTCTCCGCTTTATCATTAAGTATAAAGTATTGTGCAGTTGTTTTTACACCAAGTTAGGTTCATGATGCATGTACTCACCGCCATTATCATAGCGTAATTTGGACAGTTTAAGATTGTCGGTAGCTCCCACTTCTTTTTACACTTGCAGGAGTTGATTCCCAAGCAGCTGCAAAGTAATTGTACTGCCTTGGTAAGGTTGACAATATCCTGAACATAATCATTTCATTTTCGATTGATTGATGTAAATTTCTTAGTAGTGTATGCAAAGTTTTAATTTTAGAAATGTGAAGAGATAAATCACTTCCTTTCTGATATGTCAGATTGAAACAATGCACATTTTTGATCTTCAGTATCTACTGCAAAACATTTTGTACATTTCAGCTGATATTTTACAATTCGTCACATATAGCAGAATCGTTTTATCAACTGTAGTAATTATGTACTTCTGAGCTTTTGCATCTTTATTTGCCCTGTCCTCTGCAATTGCCTATGGTCAAGTATTTTTATACCATTCATGATCTCCCACAGTCCTTGAAATTTGAAAACGATAATTATTTGAAACCTTTTTAACTTTCACTGTCTACCAGTTTTTCAATATTTGGAGTTCCTTTCTACGCAGACGCAACCGGTTTGCTTCAATTGGCTGCAATTCACTGTTTCGCAATGGTAGTTGGCGCTCCGCGCTATTTTATTTCGTTAAAGAGAAATGATTTATACATGACATATTAATTTTCGATATACATTTTTCAGATGCTGAAAGCAAAGAAGAAATGTGTAAAACTGCAAAGTGTAAAAATAACCTCGCTGCCAGGTTCCTCTGCTCATCGGATAAAGCCTATCGGAAGAGGTGTGCCTAATAATCAACATTGAAAAGTTTTTCGTCCATGGTCTACTAAAACGCATCACCATCTATCGCTAAAATGCACAATTTCTGCGCTTAATTGCATGTTCATTTTATCATTTCAATAAAAGCATGTAACAAAGCTACGTCTTTAATTTTTTTAACAATCAACGCACTGTCCTAATTAAAGGGGTTACCGTGTGTGTGGTAACCAGGCGCAAAGTTGAACAATATTTCAAACAAATTACAAAACATATTTTTTTCTCTTTGGTTAAAATATTTTTGCAGTTTTCAGATCATTCTCAATAAAGAAAATCTTTGAAAACTCTTTAATGGTTTCGAGTTGAACGCAAATAAGCCAAAAGCCCCCTAAAATATGGCCAGCCTTTTTTAGTTCGTCCGGGTTCTCAAAAAATCAGACAAATAACTGGTAAAACTGTATCCCATATAAATATAATAGGTTCACAATGAATGGTAATGAAAAATATCGAACTTTGTAAGGATTGCAAAATTTGGAAATTTTTATAATGATTCAAAAATATCAACTATCAGTATCAAGCTTTCCGAATTTTTTCAAATCTTGGATCTGTCGGAGCACAGTTATAACATACATCATTCAGTAAAACGTAATTTGTTCTTTTAAATTTCAAATATTATCCAAGTACACTTTCAAATCTAAATAAAAATAATTCATTAAAACTATGCAAATACCTTTATCTAAACTAACTAAACAAGTTTAATAAATATAATTAAAATGTTTTACTTCTAGCAGGTAAACTCATTTTACAAGTTCATTGATTTTAAATATAATGGTGTACCCAATCTAAGTAAAGGGCTTTATGAATTTAACTAAGCAACTTCGTTTCGACTTAATTAAATTAGTTTCATAGATTCAAGTAAACAGTTATGCAAATCGGAGTTTAAACTTGTTAGCTGGCACATAACACATGTCTTAAAAGTTTCGGCAGAAAATATTTGTCGGATTTTTTTTAATAAAGAAATCTATTTAAACACTAACTATACTAAGTGACATATAAATCCGAACACCCAGTTTAAATGGTTTTGTATAAGTACTTAATGAAGCATAATAAGTAAATGATAAAAATTTCAAAATGATTGCACTGCTTTAAAAAGCCCTTTGACCTTTAATAATGTGTGGATGCACCCTGATGTGCTACGCATTCTCCAACGCGCCTAGGCATGCTTCTGATCAGGTGGTCAATGTCCTCCTGTGGTATCTCATTCCAGGCAACCACCTTCTAGAGTCTGAGGAGAACGTTGCAAATTGAGCAATCTCCTACCCATCATATCCCACACGTGCTCAATTGGGGATAAGTCGGGAGATCTTGGTGGCCATGGTAACAATGTGACATCATTATGTTGAAAGAAGTCTATTGTGACTCTTGCAACATGTGGTCGGGCATTATCTTGTTGGAAAGTTGGATCTGCCAGGGTGTCAAGATAGGGTAAAAGATGGGGTTCTAGAACTTCGTGGATATAACGCTAGGCGTTCATGTTACCTCTGATGAAGATTAAAGGTGACCTGCAACCATAAGCTATAGCACCCCAAACCATAACTCCAACAGTCTGATGAACATGTGTTTCAACAAAAAACTGTAGATTCCTCCTTTCACCACGTCGCCTTCTAACCCTGGCACGACCATCGTGCATGCCTAAACAAAATCGAGACTCGTCACTAAAGACAATACTGTTCCATTCCTGATCCCAGAGTGACCGTTGTCTGCACCACTCAAGGCGATTACGTCGGTGTTCTCGAGTTAAAGGGAGGACCCAGTGTGGCCGGTATGAAAACAAGCCAAAACTTCTCATTCGTCGGTAAACACTTCGCATGCCAATAGGTCTTCCGTGTTCTGCAAACCATTCATTTGCAATGGACCTGGTAGTGGAGAAACGGTCTCTTTAGGCCAATAATCTTAGGCGGCGATCTTCACGGTCTGTTGTTCTACGGCGGCGTCCAGTGCCCCTTGCTCTTTGCGTACGGCCTTCTCGAAGCCATGCCTGACAACACCTAACCACAGTGTCTACACTTCTTTGCACTCTAACTGCAATTGCCCGAAAAGAAAGTCCAGCTTTCCGAAGTCCCACTATACGGCCCCTATCAAACTCACTAAGTTGACGAAGTCGTACAGGTCTCCGTACTCTAGGCATCGTAACCGATCGTAAAGGATATCAAGAACCAAAATCCGCCAACGTTGGTTCTTTACTGCGGCTGAAATATTCATTTTTAGAGCGTTAGTGAATTAAAAAAAAGCAGTATAAAAACCGGAATGTCCAACTGATAAGGCTGAAAATTTTTTCACTTGTTATTTACAGTAAGATAAATACATTCACCAACTTTTATGAAAATAAAACCATTTAAACTGGGTGTTCGGATTTATATGTCACTTAGTATAGTTATCACAAATTACAACTCAATACTTAACTAAACTATACTATGAGACGTGACTCATGAGGCAATAAAGTGCATTCTTTGTGACTGTTCAGATGTGCTGTCAATAAGAGAAACTATTCTGGTGGAGCTTATCTAAGGAAAACTCTGCTAGGTCGTGCCATCACTTTCTGCAAGTGGAGTTGCTCAGGGCCCATCAGGTCTGAGTAACCCTGATTGGGAGTTCCGTAATTATACATGATTATCCTTCTCCAATGCAGAATGCGTATTCGTCGCGCAAAAAAATATTTTATACTGATTGTTGCCTTTTACTGTCTGTCTCCCAGGTAACCGCTAGCTGTTTGTTGAAGAAATTATAACTAAAATCCAAAAAACACATATATGTTAACCTTACAACCATTTTTCGAAGGAATCGATGTTGGAAATTCTAGTGCAGTATATAGGGTAAGTCGAGGAAAGATGGCCATACTTTTTATTATTGGTTATATTGTTTGATAGATGGAAAGTACAAATTTGAAATTTGATATAGAGTAACTCCTTCAGGTTGACTACCTTTAAAATCCAATGCAAGCAGCGAAATAGTTTTTCCAATAATTCTCATGTCATAAAAAGTGGCATTTGACCAATGTAGGAGAGATGGCCATACCTTTAAGGTGAGATGGTCAGGTAGATTTTATTTATTTTTTCGCAGGAAAATAAAATACTTAGGTCATATTAGACGCACACAACACTTTTTTTACATAAACGATAAAAAAATAAAATGGGAACCCACCCAAAGTGCCGCATACATGTTTTTTTACAAACTAAGAGCAGTTTACTTTGCAATATTAGAAGAACACAAATCACAAATCAAATTTGCAGGGGTACTTTGCTGCATAACTTGTGAACCCATTTTCCACAGTAAATACCAAGTTTCACCGCTCTTCCCAAATTCCTGGCAGACTAAGCAGATGTCCACAACTCCGATGTCGTTGTCGTTCAGGTTTTTGTCTATTTTTTAAACAGCTGTTAATCTTTCTTTCCTTGGTTCTACTGACTTTAGGTTTATCATCAGTTTTTCTTTTCTTGGTTTCTTTTTGTTCCTCGCCTTTTCCTACTTTTCTCTTTTTGAACTCTGAAGCAACTGATCTGAACCGTCTTTTTGCAGCTTCAACCCTTAATTTAGGCACCGGCGATATATCTGCCAGCATTTTACTGATAGGAGTTACTTCTGTTTCCAGATATTGACAAGTTCCTTCTGGTTGAATGTTATTCTCGGCAAGGTTTTTAATAGCGGTTGAACTATTATCATTGTTTCGAGTCCCAATTTGAACTGCTACGTCTGGTGTTTCAATTTGAACATCTGTTATATCAAAACCGTAGTCCGGTATGGCATCTGGATTATATGTGAAGATACCGGTACTTCTGAAACCACTAACAGCATTATTAATAGTTGCAGATTCTCCCCAGGTATCAGATAATAATTCTCCAGACTTGTATCGTGTTATACGCCTGCCAGGATGACGCTTCAACCAAAGTCTGCAGTTTGAATAAAATGCATTTTTAACAGCCCTATCTAATGGCTGTAAGAAATGGGTGCAATGACTAGAAAAACATAGCAAAATTATGTTATTTTCTTTCGCATACTCCAGCATTTCAACAGAGGTAGAATGTGACGTATGCCCAGCTAGTAATAGAAGTGTCTTTCTTTCTGGTTTTCTGGGAGTGAAGTGTTCCTTCAACGAAGACAAAAAAAATTGTGAATTCATGTATGCTGACTTCGGTGACAATCAGGGGGTAGGTTGTCTTCAAATTCTTTTTTGATATTCTTACCCTTCATAATAACTGCCGGGGGCATGAATGTGCCTTCCGCATTGCGGCAGGCTACTAAGGTCTCTTCTCAGAAGAGGTGATGGCGGAAACACTTTTTGAACCTTTTTCAGCTCAAACTTTATCGGGGCGATTGTTCAGCTGGAAACCTGATTCATCCATATTAAATATATTCATCGGTTGGTCAAATAATTGATTTTCCTCCAAGACCTTTTGCAACAAATCAAAATACCTTTTTACTACCTCACGGTTCATAGATTGACTTCTTGGTAGAGAAAGACCTTCGAATTTCCTAATATACTAAGTGACATATAAATCCGAACACCCAGTTTAAATGGTTTTATTTTAATAAAATTTTGTATAAGTACTTAATGAAGCATAATAAGTAAATGATAAAAATTTCAAAATGATTGTACTGCTTTAAAGCCCTTTGACCTTTAATAATGTGTGGATGCACCCTGATGTGCTACGCATTCTCCAACGCGCCTAGGCATGCTTCTGATCAGGTGGTCAATGTCCTTCTGTGGTATCTCATTCCAGGCAACCACCAACTCCTCTCGAAGTGCTTCTAGAGTCTGAGGAGGACGTTGCAAATTGAGCAATCTCTTACCCATCATATCCCACACGTGCTCAATTGGGGATAAGCCGGAGATCTTGGGGGCCATGGTAACAATGTGACATCATTATGTTGAAAGAAGTCTATTGTGACTCTTGCAACATGTGGTCGGGCATTATCTTGTTGGAAAGTTGGATCTGCCAGGGTGTCAAGATAGGGTAAAAGATGGGGTTCTAGAACTTCGTGGATATAACGCTGCGCGTTCATGTTACCTCTGATGAAGATTAAAGGTGACCTGGAACCATAAGCTATAGCACCTCAAACCATAACTCCAACAGTGTGATGAACATGTCTTTCAACAAAAAAC